AGAAAGCAGTTATTTTAAATAGTAAAAATATTTCACAATATTAATTATTAATGCTCTTGCTGTATTTTGGATCAAACAAATGCAGGCTTAATGAGCAGAGGAGAATTATGTAAAAAACATTTAAAAATCTTACTGTTCAAAATTTTTGACTGATGACACTTACAGGCTTTTACACCTGAACTCTTCATATATATATATATATATATATATATATATCAACTTTTGACTGGTAGTGCATTTTTCCCCATTTTTCCTTTTTTTCCCTTTAATTCCCCACATACTGAGCATATATTTGAAATATGCATTTTGGTCAGATAAGAAATGTTTAATATTACATATAATTTAAATCATATAAACATATGTTTGATTATGAGTAAAATATACATACTTTTCTTTAATTTCCTGATCTCTCTTTGCAAGAAGCTGCTCCAACCTCTGGACCTCACCGCTCTGTTGTGACTCCTGCACAAGAAAAATCATATCTCTGTTATCGCATCAGTCAACCAAGATGACACAGATCTCTGTCAGGTTTGCAGGTCCCACCTGATGGCGAGCAGACTGCAGCTCCTGGAGCTGTTCCTCCAGCTCAGTGTCTCTGATCTTCAGCATGTCCCTCACCTTCAGCAGCTCCGCCTTCACCTGCACCAACTCTCCATCCAAGACTTCAAGAGACACCTTGGACATGACATTTTTAACATTGGGAGGTTAAAAAACAGTTCGACCTACAAGTTGACATTGTGACCAAACAGCTCTTTAAATGCATATTATATATTTATTCATGAGGGACTTTTTTGACTTATAACAAAGGACATACAGAGCTACCCGTGAGTCTCTGCTGCACTTGGCTTTGGTCCCTCTCAGGCTCTATCTGTTGCGAAACTTCAGGCTCTCGCTGTAAGACAAGGTAAAGATATACTGACATAAAACACAGTAACACTACACTTGACAAATGGTCACATTAGACCAATGAAAGGAAACAAATAATAAAAACAAAAGTTACGTTGTCATTCACTCGCTGTTGACTCTTGAGCTCATCGAGTTCTGCTTGTGTCGAGCATAACGTCATCGCCACATCCAGCCACCTCTCATTCCAGTGAGCAGCCAGTTTCCTCAACTCCTCATTTTCCTGCTCAAACCCTGCCCTCATTTGCTGTTGCCCCTCCTCTTTATGCTTATACCCCGCCTCCGAGATTTGGACTTTTTTTTCGAGGTCTTGACATTTTAATTGCAGGGTCTGATTTTCTTGTTCTAGATTGTCCTGCAATTCTCTGTATATATGGAATTAATAACCTGGATCAGAGCCAAAAAAATCTGTACAATCAATATTAATAATCATTTCCAAGCAACACTGAAGTTAGATAATGGACAGAGTTGTCCGACCTGTGCTGGCAGCATCTCTCTCCCAGCTCTATCATCTTCTCATGAAGTCCCTCATCAAATGTTTTCCTCAGTTCCTCTTTCTCTCCTATCAGCTGCAAGCGCTCAGTCTCCAGTGCCGCAATCTGATTGGTTTGGATCAGTTTCTCTGCCTCCAGCTCGTGTAGCTGGTTAAGAGTCACCTGTAGTCTCTCTGTAGCTTTGGTCAGATCAGATGACAGCTTTTCGTTCAACTGAAATTCCAAAGTATTCAGAAAAGGGTTGTTCAGAACAATTCAGAACAAACAAAAAAAAATGAAAGTGTTTTAATGAAAGCCAATCAAATTGCTTAAAATTTTTATTTGATTATATAATATTAATGTTATTATTTTCTAATGCTATTATTTTAAACAGTCTTTCAAATAATAGAATTTCACCTGATATATAATATAATATAATATAATA